GTGTGTGTGTGTGTGTGTGTGTGAAGAAATGCCGTCGCATGGGAGTTAAAACTCCGATATTCTGCTGAGGACGATTGAAAGGGGAGTAGAACGGGTCGGCGGGTCGGGGTGGTGTGGGTGTGAACGTCCCTCCTGTCATTGTCCTGCTATCTGCACGGCAGGCTCACCCCATTGAGATGTCGCCTGAGGACAATACACAGCACAGCAGGCGACGCTCCTCTACTGTCCCGTATACAAAAGTGGACATGGGGACCACGCTCCACTTACTGTCCCCTGGCATTGTGAAAAACGACTCGGACAGAATCCGATGACAAAAAAAAAAAAAAAAAGCCACGATGCAAAACTCTCCCAATGCGCAAAATGAGAATCAATCTTCCGCTAGAACATGGAAAGATACAGCGCCATATTTTTTTGTCTTTTGTGCATGTGGATATTATCGCAGAGAGGCCAATTGTACAATTCCCAGCCTGCGAAATTCGCTGTGTGAAAAGCCCGTTCCATGGGCATAGCCACACCATTCTCGAAATGTGCAAAATAAGGGGCTCGCCACATCACTGTGGAAAACACAACCATTTTTGATGTTTTCTCTTGGCCACACAGCCTGTCGAAATTGGAGACATTCCCCCTTCCCCTCCCTCGCACAACCACAAAAATGATAGCTGTTGTGGGATCATAAAAGATGTTTTACACAGTCCAGAAGCCTTGGTCCGACTCTTCTTGGAGAGGGAGGGAGGGAGGGAGGGAGGGAGGGAAGGGAGGGGGGAGGGATGGATGGCCTGTTAGAGGCATCATGAGATACATGGTAATGAATGTATCCCATACCCGGTACTTGTTCATCCTCGTGGCTGTGTTCGTGGACACATTTTATTGCCACCGTACATCACTATGAAGACTTTGAAGGAGATCCGGCCAAAGCTGTTGTTCTTTGTTTTCTCCTTTATGCGTCATTTCAATTCGTTTTAAATCAGAAAACGATCCATTCATGCAAATAAAAAATCACTTTGGCATGCTAATCTTCTCTGTATGAGGGAACGCCGCTGGACGGTTAGCGCACTGATGCGCCGTTCCTAAGCGGCCTGACGTGGGAGTCCGTCGAAGGGCACCATAGTCACTGCTTCGCCGCCACCTCCGCCATCGCGGACGGAGAGCTGGATACCCATACGCGTATCTCCATACGTACAGAGCTTTTCGGACAGGGTATCTTCGAAGCAGCCTGGATACCGGTAGATAACCAAGAGAGTAACGTTCAAAATTTCAGCAGAGGAGAAGACTATCTATGACTTTGGAAGGAAGTTACACGGCTATAAGCATTGAATGGTTGCAGAGCGGGGATAGCCTTGCTGTTGGGAACCTCCCGGGCAGTCCCTCGTGGTCAGTCCTAATTATGGCTGCTGCTAATTTAGAGGAGTGACCATTACAAGTAGAGAGCAAGGAAGCGGGGAGGGGCACGAGGATAGCAGGGAGAGGTGGGTGTGGCGGACAAAGCTCAAAGTCCTCGGGGGAAGGGAGATAAGGGTTGGGACGGGAAGGAGGATTTAAGACAGTCAAACCTGGGAGAAGGCTATGGGGGCCAAGTGCTTTGAATACTCTTAGGATGAGTGAGCCGGGGGAGGAGGATCGAGGTGGTTGGGCAAAGTTCCCCAAGCTGAGGCCGTGCCATGTATTGGTAGCGGAAAGAGAAGGCCTCCCACCGGGGTGAGGTCAACGTGGTAGGCACAGGGTCTGGTATTTTGACGTCCCTACCTCCTTGCTCAGCCGTGGTGGCCGGCGTTTGAACGACACTTCGGGAAATGGCATGTTCGGGTGGCAGAGTCAATAAGCGCAAGTAAGTCCAGCGGAGATAGTGGGAGGTGTGGATGATTTTGGATCTATTCAATCGCCAAGTGCCTAGGCTAGACATTACAGGCTATGTGACACCCGCGGCCGTGGCCGATGAGGCCCAATCTGCGGCCTGTTTTTTAAATATTTTTTTTTTACCAATAAAAATACTTTTAAAACAAAAACAGAAACAAAAATTAGGGGGTGTAGGGCTTGGAAAACCCTACACTCCTATATTTATTTTTTTAGAATCCAACTTTGTTTACGATTTTTAAAAACTCAAAAACTAAATTCGATTTAAAAAAAAAAAAAAAAAAAAGCAGGATTTTTTTTTTGTCAGTTTTTATTACGAGATATATGGTCTCTGAGTTGACCTGTATTTTTTTTAGAAATGAATTTCAATTTTTTGCAGGGAAATGAGGTGTTTAAAAAAAATAAAGACGCAAAATTTGAAAACAAATAAACAAAAAAAGAATTTGATTGATTGATTGATTGATTGATTGAGT